CGAGTGTAACAATAAATGAACGAAATTTTAAAAAATATTCTCCACTCGCACTATGTATCAAGTTATTATAATTAGCGATCCATGTTAATCATAGAAACTACTGTAAAAAAATCAACAAAGAAGCTTAAACGACTTCGAAGGTCAAGAACCCTTGAGGGTATGTGGCTGGTTGGTGTTCTTCTTCTTCCAACCCACACCGACCGTTCTATCGACGTCCAACATCCACACGCACATCTGCAAAACATAAAAAGGAAGAAAATAAGTTTTTCTTCTGTTTGCCGTTGACGAGCCGTGAAACAGAAGAAAAAACAACTTTTGAAAATATACGAAAGAGACGAGTAAAGCGAGAGAAATGTTTTATTGTTGGTTGTAAGGCGAGCTCATTCGAATTGCTGAAGCAAGAGAAAAACATTTAAGCACACACACACATCCACCCCCTCTTATTACTGCTTCGTAGTCACCCATTCTCAAGAGAGCATATGCCAATGAAGTTAAATCACCCTCAGCGAATTCCTTCTTCATTTGATCTATTAAATATTTTAACGGAAAGCTAGTTTGATCACGTACGGATAGATTGGTAATACACATCTGTTGTTTTTCCTATTGCATCATCACTACTTCATCAATTCTAAATATGCTACCCCGTACAAGCCCGCAGTTCATCTTTTTATTTGCCGAAGAAGCTGAGGTGAGTAAGACTGGCATAGGGTTTCGTTCGGTCAATAAGTGTATCGATATTGAACTGATAAAGCATAGATAATGTGGGTGAGCTTGCTTGGCAAATTTCAGTCCGGTTTCTTTAATGTAGCCAGTGAATACAAGGCATTCCACCTAGTTAATTTCGTTAATCCTGCTACTCAGGAGATCGAACTCATCAGAAAAGATTCTCTGTCCATGTAAGACACGAAGAATTCAATTACAGCCAGTGCAAATTTGAAGATACTTGGTGTGCTGAGCTGTCAATTTTGTTGGTAGGTCACTAATAAACGACCGGAAACCAACGATTACAGTGAAATTATTTTCTCGCAAACCTTGATTAAGAATACGATAGAGACATGAATCACGAGTGTATCGTAAAAAGTGCTTTCTCAGCTGTATAGTCACGTTCGTACTCATCTAAAATAATCATCTCGTAGTAATCTTTAGATTTTCGCTGACGACAAAGGGTCGAGCAGCTCCTGTCTTGAATCAACTGTTATGTTGTTGAGATTTAGAATCGTATCGATAAGTCACTGAAATTACATGAATAATGCATTGCGTTCTTCAAGCTTTGGATTCTGAAAATCTGAACTTGCAGCCGTCGAGCGATTATATATAGTTATTACGACCGAATCTTGTACGGGTATCGAGGCTCGTCAAATCTGCTGTTCTGAGGAGAGAGGGTTTATTTGAAGTCAAAGACGGGGAGACGTCTGCTTTAGCACTGCCACTTTTAGGTTAGAAAAGTTCTCTGCTGCTATGGTTTCACTTCTGCACTGTGTCACACTCTAAAAGCAAGGAAGCAAAGCTTGACGAACGAAAGGAAAAAATGTGCCTTTTGTGCTTTCCTGCCCTGCAAAATTGATTCTTGATACAGTGCATGGGGTTTCCATAGAATTGTCTGAAGATGTTCGGTCAATAGAAGTGCATTAACAAAAACGTTTTTATGGCTCCGAGCCTTACCGTTCATGAGATTTCCCAGGGTAATGCTGCAAAATAGGTCTTTCACGTTTGCAAATGATCTTTTAATATACTTCCAGCTATAGCGCTCGGGCTACTCTCATTTGAAATATAACTTCTTACCAGAGATGGCCATGGTTCGAGTTTTTCAAGATTTAAACCGAACCAAAATCGAAAGAAATTTGAGGAACCCTGAACCGAACCGAACTAAAAAAAGAAAATTCGGAAATTTCACTACAGAAAAATAAACTACATTTTCTTTATTTGAGCCGATTCGTCGTATTCTGAATGATTGTTGTCTATTATATTTATATTAATATAAATCTAGACTCTTTGAGCTATTGTTCTTTTGCCTTATTCATGTTCAAAATAGTGAAGTTTATGTAAATATATATCCTATGGACATGAGTGTGAGTATGGGTGTGGGTGTTTGCTCACTCACATCCATCCATCCACCACACCCACACCCACACCCACACTCACTCATTCATTAATAAATAACAACAGTTGATTATGTCTTTCTTTTTTCGTTGTCGATATCGCTTTTAATATTCGTGGTTCATGTAAATCTGTACCTGCAATAGACGTCCCCCCTTGAAGGCATAATGCGCCTGACGTAACAAATGACCATCATTAATTAGTTAATTTCTCGAAAAATTGGAACTTTAATTAGTATATTGGCATCAATATATGACTACTTTTAAGAGTTTTTAGCGGAGTATTTAAAAAGAAGCTTATTAATTAAAAGTTATGAAAATAAATGCGAGACAATAGATGTCTCTTCTGAAAACTTTGCACGCTTTGACAAAATAAAAGACCAGGGGTCTTCTAATGCGTAGGGGGTTTAATACGATTTTTCTTCTTTTCGTATTGCTGGTAATATTTGTGGTTCATGTAGTACTCTTTTTCTCTATCTTCATATTACCTGTAATGCTCTTTGTGTATTATTTTTAACATTTGTGAAATTTAGCTTGATCATTGCGCAAATAAATAATGAAATTATGCACGGTATACGGTTATTATAGTTTTTGAATTAAATAGGGTAGGGTAGGGTAACAAAATTCATACCCTTGCAGGACGCTAGATGAAATATATCATTGGTTTCTTCACTGCATGCGTTTCTTAGGTGAAGAAAGGCAAGAAAATATATGAATACTTGTATTGCTACTTATGATATTTGTTGACTGCTCACTTGACTTCTTTTTCATGTCTATACACTAGTTTAAAGTGCATTATTTTAGCTTAGAACCGAACCGAATAGTGGACATCTCTGCTTCTTACCGTTTCAGATAAGGGAAAGGATTGTTTAATTTTTCTTTTATTTCCTTTTTGGGATCCCCAAAATCTTAAAACTCTAATAATCGTAGACAAAACTTCCTAGAAAATCCACTATTGTTTTGATATTGCGACTTGAATACAAAATCCCTTTTCTTCATCCGAAATAGAATGCATCCATCCATCGAATAGAAAAAAATGCAATTCACTAGAGCAAAGTATATTGAAACCAAATTTGTTCGGAATTCGATAATTTATGCAAAAACCAATTTGAAAAAAACACACCAACATGTTTTTGTGTATTTATCTGCAGATCCTTCTGACATACATCAACTATGATTCTGTTACGCTTCAATTAAAAATTCATCGTGAGTCTTATCGAGTGGCCTAGTAGCTACACTATGGGCTACGATGATAGGCAATAATTGGAATTGCGCTTATAATTTTCCTATGAATTTCGGAGTTAGCCTTTTCGCTGGAGATCTCTAGAAACTCATCATGAATTCTGAAGAAACTCTTTAAAATTCGAAGTAATTTTTATGAATTTAAAAGCTAGATACTGTATAGGTTATGCCTATATATTCATCCCAAAAAGTGTTATTTGTTTTAGAAAGTTCGATTTTTTGCAGGTGCGATCTTAGCATAGTTAAAGGAGGAACAACAAAAAATACCCAAAATCTTCCCTCTTTCTTTCTGTATTCACAGATAAGCGTGGCACTGTTAGTCAAAACTTTTGCTGTCTTTAAAAAAACCTAACTAGGATCGATAAGATCATATCTTTTTTTGATGAGAAAGGAGAGAAAAAAATTACGCTTTGATAAAAGCCTTTCTTTTTTCTCATGATGAGTGGCAATTGTTCATGTATTTTTCTCCTTCGCTGCCATACAGTTATATGCATTAGAAAAAAAATTGTGTTAGCCTATTGTGACCTACAGTCCACAAATCTAGACGCAAAGGTTCATCTTCGATGGTTTCTACACTGTAAACTAGAAAATACATTATAGAGTGCAATGAAAGATATTCTAGGAAAGTCCATACGAATTCAATGACAAATTTATACTTTCTTGAAAATACGATATTCAAGAAGATAGGAATAAGAAATTCGACTTTCTAGCTAGAAAATCGAATGTGAATTCGTATGGGGTTTTCCAGAAATTCGCATTTTATTTAGCAATTAGAGCATTTTCTAGAAATTGGAAATTCAATTTTTATTTTCAATTTCAAATGTATAGAGAATATAATAAGATTTTATCCTCAAGAGAAACAACTAGTTATTGTCTTCAGCAATCTGATCTATGATTCTAAACTGATGATAGATAAAAATTAATGATATAAACTAAAATTTTAGGATTCCATTAAAAGAGGAAAATTTTCTAAGAAAAAAAAGTCTAAATGTGTAAATATTTCGATCAGGAAAAAATCACTTGAAATACGATACTCAATGTTAAATGCAATAATATAATATCAGAGTTCATGTATAATTCCACAAAAATAAATGATTATAAATATCTATTTTGTGGTGAGAAAAGTTTTTATTTGCAATATTCTTTTCGTGAATAAGAAATAAATGGATATTATGTGTTTGTTCATGTAAAATGGGCTAACCCATGTGGATTCGAAAAAATATAGTTGATCTGCTCGCTAGAGCTGGCAGAGAAAACAATGAATGCACTACACTGCCGACTATAACTTATACACACAAATGAACAATGGCTTTATAAAGGTCATAATCCAAATGATTTTCTAGAACGTGGCGCTGATTTTTTACTTTTGTAGAATTTATCTTGATTTTCTATAAAATTGCAATTGAATTTCAAACATTTTAAGAAGTCACTGTTGATTTTTCAATTTTTTTGAAAAAGAATTTTTCTGAAAATCAAGCATTTTCTGAATATTTAAAATTCGACGAATGAATAATAAAAATTCGAAAATGCTTTAGCTTATTTAAAGTCGATTTTCTAAAAAGTAGAATTTCAAAACAAATTACAGTGTAGTTTGAAAATGCTCGTGACTTATGTTACCTGTATATATAGATAGGTTTCATCGAGTACCAGTATACATGGGTCTCAGCCCTCAGTCAATAAACGATTTGCGATTGATGATGTATGCTTGTTGATAACATCCTGCCGTGTTAAGTGAGCTAAACCCAAATAGCGAGGTACGAAGTGCTTGGTGACCGCAACTCGAGCCTCATTTATAATACGGCTCATTTGGCGTTTGCTGTTTACACCGACCATAGATGTTAAAACCGAATCGCTCAAGCCCAGCTTCAATTTCATTAAAACATACGCCAGAGCAGATCGAGCTGACCTTGTCGCTGAATTCTTCAAAGATGTTGGAGGTATATGTGACAAGGTATGAGCATGCTGAGCTCGAGTAAATCCAGTCAGTTTGATGTAATCAGCATCTGTCAAGCACATGCATTCGTCAAAATCAAGGTGTTTGTTATTGTTGAGTCGCGTACGATACGATTTAAGGAGATTTATAAGCGCTTGTCGAGAAAAAAGTCGATATTGCACCTTGTGTGGTGCCAGAGACTGGAACGCTTCAGGTATCAGACGTTTATCGACAGTGTGTAGTTTGCAGCATCGGGATCCTGCAGGCATTTCGATGTGGCGTCGAATGAACAATTCAGTACGATCTGCTTCGCGGATAGTCACCGTTGTAGGTACAATTTGTTTTTTTGCAAACACAACATTAACTACAAAACAAAAAGTACTTAATTGTCTGTATTCTCAGCGTCTACCTTTTTGAAAAGATCGAAACTTCAATTGGAACCTCGATACCTTGTTCATCGATATTTCCATCTGAGGGGATTGTATCCATCTAAAAAGTTGAACTAAATAAAGATAAAATATATCCAGCTGCACTTACTGCTTCACTACTTTCATCCGAATTAATTTCTTCATCGTCTACTTGATCACTGTAACGAATTCCGTTTGATAATAAATGGATAGTTTATATTCGTTACTGTTGCAACTTTTATTTTTTATTTGTGATCACAAAGAGAAACTGGAAGAGTAGCGTTACCGCTATCCTCGGTGTATACGATGTTAATTACACTACTCCATTCTCCAATGTTCTAGTTCTGTTCCAGTTCTGATGTATAATACAATGTACTCGTTTTATATACGTGCACACGAGAGAGAGAGAGAGAGAGAGAGAGTGAGTGAGAGTAGAACAGAAAAATATATAATAACCATAATCGCATTGCACTAATTTCATTAAAATGCACTAACACGTTACCCAAAGGTATACACAAGCTTTAAGAAGACAACCAGGCACACTGATGATAGTAGTAGATCATACAACACTGATTGAGAATGTCATATTGTATAAGATTGATTAAAAAGTATTTCTCCTTTCCACACGATAGTCTCAGGGAATATTAAAAGTTGGAAACGCAAATATGTGAACAATAAAGGATGTCCATACATTATTGTCACAGCACAAAATGCATTTTCTATAAATAGAAAAGTCAATTTTCGTTAAGGAAAATTCTGAATTTACACGAAATAGTTGGAAGGAACGCAAGTTGAGGTTCGATAGATGGGTTTGATGGTCTGAAAAAGTCACAAAATGCATTTCGGGTAAAATGTATCCACTTTCTTCGATTGATTCGATATGGAGTTATTTTCATGGATCTCCACAGTGTTAATCGTTTTGGGTGGGATTTCTCTCCTGGTTAGGAGTAGGAAGGATTGGAGTAATAGGTAACGTTCAATGAAGTGTATATCTCGATTTCGGTCAAATCCATGTAGTCTAGTTATCAATGTAGTAATCGATGTCTTAATAGGTGTTGTCTTCAGCCGATGACTGAAGTAAGATTTATGTGTGGAATTTATGCGCTTGTTATGTGATTTACGATTTGTGATTGTTTGGCGTTTCATGTTGGTTTATAGAGAGCATGGTAAATTCCTATTTCCAAGAAATTCAAAATGCGCTACAAACTATAATAAATTTGTAGCACGTAGATAAAGATGTGCATAAAACGATGTTTTTCGTTTTGGTTTTTATCAAACCATATCATACATTTTAATATAATGTAACAGTCATTTATATATCAGTATCAATTCTGTCTATACCCATATGAATATGTATAGGTTGTATGCAGACTTGGTGGGATGGGATGGGATGGAATGTGTTGGGTTGGGTTGGGTAGGATTCGGTTGGGATGAGTTGGGTTGGGTTCGGACCAGTAATGATAAATACATCTGCATAAAATACATTTTGTAGATGTATATATGAACTATATACTTCTAGCTGCAACTGATTGAATTAGATTAAAAAGGATACCGTCTGATTCCATCGTAAGTCTGCTACCCCCTTTTTTAATCTCAATAGTTTGTAAATATGTAGCTTGAAATTTTTCATATTTCTGTTTATTTCGTTTGGTTTCAATTGAATGATAAAATAGTTTTTGGAGTTGAACTAGTCTCAAGGTTTATATCACTTTTGCATATTTCCGGCGATATGTATGATAACCATATGTTCTCCGGTTGTGTATTCTATATGAAAACTAATAGTGTAGATCGGCGCAGTTTTTTACGCTCTAAAATAAATAATTTATTCCTAAAGGTTATTAGTGTAATTTTTCTATCAAATAGTATAGGATCGAACATGTGAAATATTTCACGTGTTTGACCTTACACTATCTGGTAGAAAAATTACTGATAAACTTGAGCAATATATCATTGTGTAGAGCGTTAAAAACTGAATCGATCCACGCTATTAGTTTTCATATAGAATACACAAAAGAAAAAGATATGGGTACCATACATACCGCCAAAGCAACCAAAAAGAGGTATACATCTCCTGACTTGTTCAACCACAAAAAACTTTTTGTCATTTAATTAAAACCAAACGAAATAAAGAGAAATGTTCAAAATATCAAGTTGTATCTTTCTATACTTTTGAGATTAAAACCTAGGGGGTGGCAGACTTACGATCAAATCCGACGGTATCATTGTTAATCTAATTCAATCAGTTGCAGATAAAAGTAGATAATACATAAATACATCTACAAAATGTATTTTGTGCCGGTGTATTTTGTTATTACTGGTTCCAACCTAACCTGAACCAACCCAACCCACTACTTATCTGGAAGCCAACTTCATTTTGCTACTCTTTATAATAAGAAAACTAGTACGTGATTATTTTTAAAAGCATTTAATTGAATTTCCAGGAAATTTTTCTTCTAGTCATTTTATTTGAATTTCCGAGCAATATGAATTTACCGTCGCATGCTTTGTCCACAATTTTTTCTATTTTTCTTAGAAACTAGATCACTTAGATGTATGGTTCTTTCGTCTGATGGTGCCTACTTTCGGCCTTTTCCAATTCCTGAAAAAACAATTTTGTTTGCCTTAGTTAATTAAAAATGCTGAAAAAACACTGCGATAAACGGGATGACGAAAATTGAACAAAAAGTTGAGGGTGAGGCGTTTGTTCACTTTTTTTCTCTGGCTACAAATCTCATTTGAAAAACTGATCAATAAGGTTTGTGTCTACGACAATACAGGGAATCAAACTGAAAACTAAAATGATTCAGCAAGATCATTTATTTGCTTGTTATTTCGATTTGATGAACGTTACGCGATGACTAAAATCAGTAAAATGTGATCTCTTTTTCTATGTGGAAATCTTTTTAGTGATTGTCGAATGTAAACGATAGTACTTATTCTTAGAACTAAGACAATGTTTTGTTGCGTTTGAGCTAGGTTATATAGGGCCAAGATATTGATATTACAATTCGGTTTTTCGATTTTCCGGTCTTTCGGTTGATGCGTTACGATATTTTGCCGCCCTGTCAAATCTTGTCGGATACTGATGAAAACTTGAATGTTAGAGCATCGATCGGTTCCGACAACCGGATATCATTGGAATTTTATCGGAATCCTACGTTCGGATGTGACATTGATTCCTCAACCAGGAATCCAATGGGATTTCATCGGATGGTAGGATCCTATGAGATCCGATCGGATTCGGTATCGGATTCATTCATCTGGGTCACATAGATTTATTCTATAGTTATCCTTCTTTATTTATCGACAAGACATTCCGAAAATTCTTCCCTGACTACATATCATCACGATTATTTCTCCCATTTCTTGACAATGAAGCTCAATTCGTACAAATGCGTATTGCATTATCTGGACAACCAAGTCGACAACAATCTCAAGTCGAAACAGCAATACCCACGATCCACGGATTGGGAATTCTCAAAAATTCAAGCGATTCCAGGAAATTTAAACAATTCAAGCAACTCAAAGCAATTCAGAGAAAATCAGGAACTTCGAGTGGTACCTAAACTGAGCCATCATCGTCGAAAAGTGTCTGAGAATTCAAGGAATTCAACAAATTCAACCAATTCCAGGGAATTCAAAGAAATTCAGGGAATTCAAGTGCTGCCTAAACTTAGATATCATCCTTCAAAAGTGTCTGAGAATTCAAGGAGTTCAAGCAATTCCAGCAATTCAAGGGAATTCAAAGCAATTCAGAGAAAATCAGGAACTTCGAGTGGTACCTAAACTGAGCCATCATCCTCGAAACGTGTCTGAGAATTCAAGTAATTCAAGCACGGTGAGGGAATTCAGGGAAATCGGGAAATTGAAATTATGGCAAAATGTAGGCATCATCCTTCTAAAGTGTTTGAGAATTCGAGGAATTTAGACAAAGTCAAAATATCATGACACGTATTGCTGTGGTCACTGTATCTTGGGCGGAAGTCAGGGAATTCAAGAAATTCCAGCGATTGAGGGACAACCGATGAAATCGTGAAACGGGTGGGTTTGAATTAAAATGAGGGACGAGCCATTTTGGAGTCTCATCGCAGATTATAGTGAAATAGAAAGGGGTTCGGGAATCCTGACAAAGCCTGAGTGGTGTTATGGTCCGCGATGGATATTGTGAACGGTAGCGAGTGGAGAATTTGAAGTGGTAATGGTAAACCTGGTAGGTGATCCGTGGGATCATAATTGGCGGGCATGAATATATGGTTGGGCGAAATACTTCGTTGTGGTTTGATGGAGTGAAGAGTTCGTGTTTCGGCGACTCATTATGTCGCGTAGCCGCACTGCACGAATATTAATGGATAGTGTCTTGAAAATCCGCGAAGCGTAGTGGCTTGTTGTTGTGTGTTTCTTTTTGGTCAGTTTTGCTTCGTTCGAGGCTATTGTGGGCTTGGTTGGAACTTTCACGAGTTTTGAAAATTGTGGTAAATTAAGAAACCCTGAAGGAGATGGGGAAAGATAGTGGTTTGCATTTTGTGGATGAAGCTCCTATGTACATGAATTGTTGAGGAAATTGTTTGTATCTGATGGATGCTCGGAAGGGCGTAACTTGCGAGAGTAGCTGTTTCCTGGTGTGTGGGATGTAGTGGACATTTTGGAAGTCCATGCTTAGAGAAGTTAGTGAGAACTGCAAAGTGTGAATTGATCTGCAATATGTGCGCGATCTGATTAATCGTTTTTTTTGGCGCATCTTGAGGGATGCCACTTGATTCTCTTCTTGGCATCCGCATTCAGAAAGATGATTCACTACTGTCTTTGGTATAGCCAACGAACGATAAATGAGATTTGAACGCGTCCATGACTGACACAGCAAGAAACGTAAGCTAAGCGACTGTTTGCTGGTTCCAGCTGTAGTGAACTGCGTGTGAATGGTTTTGTTTATACTTTATCGTGGTAGATAGTGTATGCCTCTCGCTGCCGTTACAATCGGAGAGATGCGTTGTGTTATCGTCGACGGCCATCACATCCACGCTTTCCAGGAGGTTTCCACTCACACTTTTAGGGGCACTCTCACTAGTAGTCGTAGCGGTGGGTATCCCCGCATCAACAACCACACTTATTGTATGAAGCACCTTGTCGGATGTGGGTGGATGTGGGTGTGGGAAAGAGACTTACATCACATCAAGCCAAGTGTGGGTGTGAGAAGGGTATCTCCCGCTCTAGCTAGTTTGGGTGCGGTGACCGTCTCTGCCAACTGATGCTAGTGTAGGTGTGAGAGAGGTATTTGTTATGGCCTTCAACCATGATACATCATCCTTGATATGTTCGTTTGCTTTCTTGAGTCAGCATTCCTTGAGGCATCAGCATGAGATGCTTGACTCAGAAGTCTTCCCTCACTTAGAACTGTATACACCCATGCATCTCTTTTGTGTGTGTGTGTGTGTGTGTGTGTGTGCCGTACAGTCTCATTGTTTATAACAGTATCTACCATCATGGCAGGTATGCCTGCGGCGAGTAAGTTACATGGCATCCAGCGATATGTGGGGACGCGCTGTTACACGCGTCGCACTTCGCTTGGTGTGCATGTGGGGAAGGTCATATCAGTAGCTTTTGAGTGGAATCAACATCAGATATATGCTGCTAATAGCCACGTTTATCGAACCTTCTTCCATGCATCGTTCGGTACCGGATCATTTACATCTAGCAACGCCTATCTTTGAGCTGCATGGAAACTACACAAAGCGAAGATATAATTTCAAGCAGAGGGCGCACAACACCAGCACAAGGAATTCCCTCCATTTCCCCTTTATAGAAAAATCAGTATCTGCAGAGTGGAAAACCAAATTACCACTATGAGACATAGAACCAGTTACAAGAAAGCAATCCGCTTTCACTGCCACAAACTCATCAAGAAGAAACGGACTGCAGCAGCCTGTTCCGCTAGATATCAAAACACATTCAACTCTTTCATTTTCTCCGAATTCCCTCATTTTCGTTCAATTCCTTGAATTGCTTGAATTGCTTGAATTCTCAGACACTTTTCAAGGATGATGTCTTAGTTTAGGTAGTACTTGAGTTCTGTGAGTTTCTCTGAGTTTCCGAGAATTCACAAATCGGTGATCGTGGGTATATCTCAGCGCTTGAAGGATTCGTCCAGCGAAAACAAAACGTAAGATGGTTCCGTATGTTGTCTGCAAAACTATCTATAGTTTCAAAGGCTATCTATAGGTTTTGTATATTTTATACCGAACCATTGATGGTTTTGTAGACACTCTAGGGGCTCCGCTTTTTGTATATGAAACGGCTGATGGTTGCGTAACGAAGAAAAGTTCTTAGTGGATGTTATGCGAAACCATCAATACCAGTCTTGTCTGGAAAAGGTTTTGAATATATTTTCCGGAACTGATGATACATATTGACAGATTGAAAAGGTTTTTTACATTCTCCGCGAAACCATTGACGGTTTCGTAGACTACCAAAGTGTCTGGCAAATTGTATACTAAACCTTAAATATCAATCTTGACACAGAAAAGGTTTTGTACATACTTTCCGGAACTGATGATACAAATTGATTGATTGAAAAGGTTTTTTACGTTCTCCACGAAGCCATTAACAGTTTCGTAGACTACGAAAACGTCTAGCAAATTTTATACCAAGCCATTCGTAGCTATTCAAGGCTAAACAAAAGTTTCGTATCAAATATACAAATCATGAAACAGTTCTGTACACTATCCCAAAACTTTGTATTTTTTATGCAAAATTGATGATAGTTCGTCAAAATATCCAGTGATTTCGGAAATCACTTACAAAATTTTGCACAACTCTGTTCGATTCTAATATTTTTCGTTCTCAGTGCAAAACAGAGTATTTAGTTCTATTTCTTCTCAAAATCATTTTTTGCTTCCTTGGTTATCAGAGACTGAGAAGTAACTTCAGCTCTTGCTATAATTAAAAATATTGGATACATCTGAGCTCTGACCAGTATCTCGTTGGTTTTCAGCGCAAATTACGCAGAAAGAAAAACATAAGCAAGAAGCAAGATATTTATGCCTCACACAAATAAACCTAAGGGGAGAAGCCAGCAAGATAATAAAAATTTTGGCGCCAAAGGCAAGCCTATGCTAGATCCAATGAAGGGAAAAGTAGCAATATCAACAGCACCGTTTACATAATATCGAATATTCAAGGCAGCTTGGAAATAGAACTTAGCTTCAATCAAGAACCCATTGCCTTCACTGAGCGCTCATACAATATTTAGGGTAAGATTGAAGTAGTGTGAAAAATTATGGAAAAAGATACTATTTGCTAAACGTATCTCGTAAACTTACACAATCAGAAAAAATAAAAATCTATTGCGACATGATTCGCATTGCATAATAGAATATATTATAGTTGTTCAACTCCTCAGTCATTTCGATTAAAAAAGTGCAAAACTTCTACTATTTTTATTCTTAGATATGTGCTACTTACCTATAAAAACAACATTATTCTCTTCTTATCTAAAACTAACTAACCATTCACTGCGATGTCACTAGTGTACAATTAATACTTTTACTTTAGACGCGTAAAGGACCATGCGCAACTTCGATCTTCATTCTTTAACATATATTACTGTAGTTAACGATTCAGATTCTATTATGATCTTCATTCACATTATCTTTTACTTGGTTCATATTAATTATTACTGCTTATCAGCAATTCGTTCTCGTTGTAATTCACTGAACCAAGTGAGAAAACATTTCCTAACTCGAGTGATAATGAAATAACATTTCTATATCAAAAAACATTTACCATAGTAAAACATTGCGTGGTACGCGAGATTTTATTTAAACTCGTTGATCGAATTCGAAGTGAATAATATTGTAACTATTTAAAAATTACACTCGCATTTCATTTGGTTAATCTCCGGAGGAAGAATTTTCCGTTTCACCATACGAGCAGAATTCTACAAAAAAAACATTGGAACGCAGCATTCTTTACTAGATATTATTTTTTGTTTAGATCTATTACGTTATACTGAACCCGATCCATTATTGATTACATTGGTTTTCGTTTCCTCTATTGAACAAGGTATTGAATGAAAGTTTAAATTTAATTATACAGTGAATTATTGTATTTCTTCAAAAGAGAATATTGTTTTTCAAATACTGTTTCATACACTTTTTTAGACTCTTGATTTACGTATGGAGAATTTTTCCACTGCTGATGTCATTTATTGGCTTAAAAGGTTCGTCTCTGATGAAGGAATTATTCGTTATTTTCAAGGTAAACTGAACATTGCATGATTTAGCATAGATTTATAGCATAGTTTGATCATGTTCGGCTAGTGAAAATAGATTGGACCTCACATTTGTTTTGATATTGTAGCATCATTTTTTTAGTAATTTCTGTTATTGATATGAAAGGAGAAAGAGCATCTTTTCTCACCTCGTACGAACTTTACGTTCAAATTTTGGTTGTACTGGATCGTTGAAAGTTCAAAAGTAGGATGAAGGAACGTTTTTTTTAGGTTAACCGTGAGAGACGTGGCGGTTACTCGATATATTGCGTTTACTAAGTGCTTTTTTCGCTAAGCATATGGTTGCGGTGTTATTCTCGTTATATGTTTTTGGGGAAAATTTTTGAAATTATAGATCCTTATGTTTCTTAGTCGAGAAATAATGTAGTTTAATACCTTAAGTTTTGTGTTTTAGTTAACTTATCATATTTTACAAATTGTTGAAGTGATTTCGATCTTTCTTCATTAAATGTCTCACGACCATTATTTTTGTCCACTCTGCACATCTGCTAATGTCTTTAAAAGTTATTCGACTTTGTTTACTCACATTCGGAATGAACATAGCGACAAATCACCTTTCATGATTCGTTGTGAATTAAATGCATTATGTGGTTCTCGATATTCATCTTTCGATAGTTATCGGCAACATATTTATCGCTGTCATCGCTCCCTCATTGATCCATTTGATAATGATCATAGTGGTTCTGTAGCTATTGAAAAAGCTTTGAATGACATCGGTGGATCATCTGTTGACTGTATTTCAAGTAATGAACCAGACCTTACTGTTGACTCAGATGAATTTATTCATCCTGAAGAAGAACTTAGTGAAATTGATTATCAACCAATTAATTTTGGTCCTATTTTAAATAATGTTTTTGATCAAAACACAGGATGTACCAAGCTTACAGCTTTTTATACTTATTTTCTTCTTGAATTTCGGGAACATCATCTTCTGCCACAAAAATTAGTACAATTAATCATATCTAATATTTGTAGTCTACTTGACATAATTATCAAAATTACTAATGCAAAAACTTTGTCGGCATGCGCTCCTGTTATTGATTTTGCAACTGTTTTAAGAGAGATCAATCAAATCATTAGTTTTATTAGTAAAAACGAGTATCAATTTTTAAAACAATGCACGGAACATTTTGATTATCAACCACCAACTAAAATTATGTTGAACACAGCGGAAGAATGTGCTAATTATGTTCCGTTGAAACAGAGTGTGTCATGCATGCTTCATGATGATCAATTATTGCAGGCTATAATCGATAATATTAAATCTTTATCAACTTGTACAGCCAAAGACAAAGATTTAATTATATCAAATAGGCAGTGTCGTTCAGTTAGATCAAATCTCGTTCGTCCAACAAATTCCAATGCTTTATTATTGAAGCTATATACGGATGGTATTGACATCACAAATCCGATAGGTCCTAAGAAAGATTCACACAAATTAACCTGCTTCTATTATCTTTTGGATGATTTACCTGAGATCGTTCGATCACAAGTTGATTCAATCGGTTTGCACTGTTTATGTTATACGAAAAATTTGAATAATGACAACAGCAGAAGGATGTTGATGAACATACTTGTTGAAGACCTAAATAAACTTCAAATTGAAGGCATCTCAATACCCCGTCTTTCGAGCAGAATATACTTTGTTTTCTCAACCTTTTGTGCTGACAATTTAGCCTCGAATGAAATTGGTGGACTTCAAAAGAATTTTAATGGTGGACACTTTTGCAGGCATTGTTTTATTACTTATGAAAACCGACATATTCCATTAACCGATATCTCATTTGTGCCTAGAAGTCGTTTAAAGCACGACAAAATTGTTAATCATATTATTGCTAATAATGGTCGTCAAATTGTTCAAGGTGTAAAGGGACTTAGCTGGTTTCATGATCTTATTGGTTTTCATTCGACTGAGTCTTTACCACCTGATATAATGCATGATATTGCAGAAGGTAGTACAGCAAGATAAACAAAAAGGGAAGAAGTTTTTATTAAAGAAAAACAGAAATATTTTCTATAAGAACGATATTATATAGCACATGCAGCATAATAGATTGTATATGAATGATCTTAAAAAGATTATTTATGTTAAAATTTTATTAACACATGATCAAAGTTTTAAAGTGGAGAGCGTTTGATGTTTTAGTTTTGAAAATTGTACTTAGCTATTTAAGTAAAAAAGAACTTGCTGTTTATTCAAATGGAATGAATTTCTAAGATCTAAAAAGTTATTCATGTCTTTCTTTTTATTTCCAATCGAAAATAACAATTGTTTCTTTTTATTTTTACAAAAGTAGTGAACCACATAATTTTCTTATACTCCATAAGATAGAATAGGATTTCGTGGATATTAAGTCTTTTTTGTGTACTGATTTTTCTTATCATTCAGGTGCGTGTCCCCTGATTACGTCTGCTTTACTGAAAGAAGCTGTTCAACAGCGACTTTTAACTCATACAGATATCGAACAAAGCACATCAAATTTCGTTTATGGTTTTTATGACTCATCGAATAAACCTCCTCCAATTAAAAAGCAACACCTAACTACTTCATATATAGCTGGTACTGCTAGTCAAAAATTATGTCTGTTTCAATTATTTCCGGTCATCTTTCACGACATCATTGATCATCTTACACTAATGATTTTATACACTGTTTTGCGTGAAATAATCAGTTACGTGTATTCCAATCCAATAAGGAAATCTTGGATATCATATATGAACGAATTATGTAAACGATTTCATGCTTTAATGGTCGAACATTTACCTGATCTTGTAACACCAAAAGTCCACTTCATTACTGAGTATCCTCGCTCTATTGAGAAACATGGACTACCTATATTAAATTCTTGCTTGCGTTTCGAAGCAAAACATTTGTATTTTAAACAAATCGCCAGTCGTGCATTTAATTTTAAAAATCCTCTACTGACTCTCGCAAAGCGCTATCAATTACGTAGCTGTTTATTGAACAAGACAAAGTCATTGTCCTTGTCAGCAGTCACAACAATTCGATCTTCTAAGTTAATCGAGTGGTGTAAGTTGTCTCATTCGATTCAACATTTGTTAATGAAGGATGTCAATAAAATTAATACCATTTATGAATGTAGTTCCATTGATTATCATCATATCAATATTAGACAAGGTTCAATAGTTGTTCATCATCTCGCGCATGCTGAAGAAATCCCAGTGTTTTGCCAAATTTATTGTATATTAAAAGTCGAAGATAAATGCATGATAATTGCAGAAATCTTAGATACCATCTCATTTAATGATAAATTGTGGTCGTACCAAATCGAATTAACAGGAACATTAATTAAAATTGATATTGAACACTGTTTTAGCATATTTCCTCATTGTCTTGACTCTTATGTTGTCGAACAATCACATTATATAAACATATTAACTCGTTTAACTAAAAAGTGACAAAAATCTTTTTTTTCTGTTAATCATATTAAAGAAAGAATGATTTAGTATCATAGGGCTGTCATGTAATACATAGTGATGCTTTTATTTATCATACAACTGTTTTTCAACAAAAAAGTATGCTTCTCTATTTAGATGAGGATATTGATTGTTCAACATTGGTTCTACTACAGCAGAATGATGTTTGCGAAATATTTCCTCGAATGAAAGATCGTGTTAAATTCATTGATCAACGTTTAAAATTAGTCTCAAGTTGCAATAGTCCAAGTGAAAATAATACATGCGCAACTGATTTATTTCATTCGACGTCATCATTATCTCAAGGTGTTGATGAATCTCAAGAGAATGATTCACCAAATTCATCATTCGTGCATGGAAATAAGCAAGCTGATAATGTTCATGAAACCGCACTTTCCGATTCTTCATCAAACCTATATACATCAGTGAATGATGATATTTCACCTCAGCCAAAACTACCACTTGATTATGAAGGTCCACATATAACTTCTCGAATGAAACAATTTATTGAAGACCAAAATCTTTCAAAGTTTAGCGCACATACAAAATTGCGAAGTGAATTATTATCATTACTTTTCGATGATGTAACGAATCAATATCAGTTGATGTAAGTAACTATTGATAATGAAATTTTTCTTGTTTGTATCTGTATCAATTTAGTTATCCATCCAACAATGAATATTTGGCAATGGCCAAAGCTATTGTGAAGAAAATGTGTGTTCCACCAGCATTAATTCCGCAGCATATAGAAAGAAAAAGTATGATCGAGCAAGCTGAACGTCGAATAGATGATATAGTAAGTTTTGAAATGAGATTTTTTAAACAGTACATCCCACGTTTTTTTTCTCCATAGCCAATAATCAATCTGGCTGATCAAGAAAATGCAAGTTTATTGTCCATGGTCGATCAAATGAAAAACGAGCTCGATAAAGATTATCCTGATAACAACTTACTTCGTCATCTGTGGATACAATCGTTCAATACTAGACGCTTATGTATTCGAGAATGAAAAATCAATGTAATTCTCGAACGTTTTCCAGGTTATCATCGTCCTGAAATGGTAAGAGTGTGCAATTCACCCTGATCATCTGCATTCTTAGATGGTTTATTATATGTTTTCCCATATTTTAGATCTTGGCTGAAGTCAAAGAATGTGCTGGTATTGATATGGAAGAAAATGTGAATGAACTATTACCAAAGCTCTTTGATTGCCTACCAGATAACAATTATTCTCTATCAGGTAAGATCCTTCGCAAAAGAAGTTAGAAAAACTCGAAGAAAAACTTGTGTCTATAAATCAAGCAAACATATTTATTTCTGTATACTTCTAAGTTCCATACTGAGTCGTTTTCATAGCATAAAATTAACACATCATATAAAAAATAATTTCTGTGATAATACCGTACTGAAAAATGAGCATCCATTCAATCAGCATATTTTTCTATATAAGAATTTAAATGATTTTCTTTAATATACTTATTGCTCAGGAAAAACGATAAAATTTTCTAAGAAGGTTCGAATATCATGTTTTTTTTATTTAGATGCTTTACCTATTCGAATTATTCGTATCCTATGCAAGTTATTCGGCGATCCTGTCGCTAATATTTTTACATATGGGGTAGCTATCTTTCTATGTTTTATCATTACAAACATTTTTTTTCAATTATATACATAGGATCCACTTGTGCCATATCCATGTATGAAAATTCATGATGATAAGTTTGCGCTTTACTTGGACTTTTGTTTGATAACAGAAACTACCTCGTGTTCTATTGCTCTTGCTCTTCTTATATCATTCTATTATGTCTTCGAAGTTCGATTTGGTCCACATAACCGATCTTCTCGTCTGCTTTATGGGGTTTTATTTGAGGATTCACATTCTCTTAATAAAGCACTCAGAAATTTGCTGCACAATTGGCAATAAAAAATAACTAATCGACTATCAATAAAGCGACAAGCAATGGTTAAAAATCTGATGGAAACTTCTACGCAACCCTCGATTCTAAACGAAAATAATTCATCTTTATCTAAGACTGCAAATAAAGTAAGTGTTTTTGCTTAGTTTGAAAGTAGAGTAAACATTTCAAGATCTTATTTTTCTAACTCTGCATATTCTAATTGCACATGGCAGATTAAAAAGAATTTTTTATTTAAATGAAAATTGATTACAAGTTTCTATGACTAAAACCAATGTGAGCATAGCGATGTCTCTGTAATACATAACATAATCGGTATATATAAATAGTATCTTTTTTACTACGGGGAGATATTATTCAAAAATATTGTATTGTTTGCATCAATTGAATTCTTGTAAAAAAGATATTTTTCAAGACTTATAGACACCATAATCTTTTCCAAAACATTGATAAAATGACTTTCTAAACTCTCATGAATTAAATTGAGAGTAATCGATCGAAACCTTTTATTCTGAACTAAATAACAGTAATTGTAATTTGCAACTGTTCGTCTTTCTACACATCATAAACATTTATTTTTACTATCATTTTAGACTGCTGAACCAATAATTGAACAAACTGAACAAGAACAACATGCTTCGTCTGATTTAAACTCTCCTGGGTCAACTGATACTGAAAATCAACCGTCTAATGATCAAAATGACGATAATCTTAGTGTAGCAACAAATTCTAAGAATGAAAAACGTTGTAATCATTTAGCAAATGCTTATCCTCCTCCAAAACCTCAACGCAACTCATCAGTGATGCTTCAAAAAGAAATAACGTCGTCAATATTTCTTCAAACCGCTTCCAACAATAACTGCTCACGGCAAACTATAATCAATCAGATTGATCAATCTTCGTTAAAACAACCATGTTCAATTAAACAAAATACATTCGCAGAATCCGAAGAACATCATCCACATGCTAAAAGAAAACGTAAACAACCGGAATCTTCATCCTCATCCACAACGACAACAACAACAACAACGAAAAATTCAGCAAGACTTCTCGCAAAACGAGCTCGAATAGACTAAAGTGTGTTTCATGGACCACGTTTGTTTTCAATATCTCCTCGTCTAGATACATTTCTGTATTCTCTATCACGGTATCTTTTAGTATTGATTTCATACTTTTCTCTCTAAATACTTTCATTTACATAAAGAAGACGAGAATAAATTCATATTTTCTAACGATCACTTTTCGGAAAACTCTAACTGAAGAAGACTTAACTATACGTATCTTTAATTTAACCCTGAGCAAGATATATCATTCCAAATTCGGTTTACCTCTATTCAAAACACAAGAGCTGTACATTAATCTTCTTTTACATTCCTTTCGTCATTGAATCTATGCTTCAAAGTAAGTTTGATATTACTTAACGAAAATCCATTATTGTATTCATTTTCCTTTTAAAATGTAAACGTTCATCATAAACATACTGTAAGATTGAAAGTAGGTTTAACCTTATTGAACGAAAATCAATTATTTTATTCATTTCCTTCAGGACATATACATTCATCATATCGACAATGCAAAATTTGAAGTAGGTTTCCTTTTTTAACCGAAAATACCTAAATCTATTCATTACCTTTTAGATTTATATGTTCATCGTAACAACAATGTATCAATTAAAGTGAGTATAACTTTCATCAACGAAAATCCATTATGGTATTTATTTCCTTTTAGATTCATGGATTCATCATAAAACACAATGTACGACTAAAAGAAAGTTTCACTTGATTCAACGAAAATGCATTATTTTTATTCATTTCGTTTTTGGCTTATACGTTCATCCTATCCTCACTGTACGATGAAAAGTAAGTTTACCTTTCTTCAACGAACATAATTTTTTTTTCTTCATTTCCTTTTGGACTTATACTTTCATCATGAACTACAGTGTACGATTGAAAGTGAGTTTGACTTCGTTCAATGAAAATTCATTACATCATTTATCTCTTTTTATAATTCTACGTTCATTCCATCCACAATGTATGATTTGTACTATGTTTACTTTTTCGAACGCTAATACCTAATTCTATTCGTTGCCTTTTAGATTTATACTTTCATCGAAACAACAATGTATCATTCAAAGTAAGTTTAACTTTGTTCCACGAAATACATAATCTTTTGCATTTCCTCTTAGATTTAAACGTTCATCAAACCAAACTGTACGATTAAAAATAAGTTTAGCTTATTTAATCGAAAACATTCAGTTCTATACATTTCGTTTTAGGCTTATAACTTCAGCGGATCTACAATGTATGACTGGCAGTAAGTTTAACTTTATTTAACGAAAATCCATTATTTTTATCTATTTCCATTTCGATTCATACGTGCATCGTAACACCAATGTGTCACTCAAAGTGAGTATACTTTGTCCAGAGGAAATCTAATTTTTTATTTATTTCCTTTCAGATTTATGCGTTCATCTTATCCACACTGTTCGATCAAAAGTAAGTTTGACTTTATTCAACTTAAATCCATTATTCTTACTCATTTCCTTCCAGATTCAAACGTTTTATAAACCAGACTTTACGATTAAAGGTAAGTTTGACTTTATTCAACGAAAATCCATCATTTTATTTGTCTCTTCTTAGGTTTATACGTTGATCCAATCGAAAATATCTGACTTGCTGTAAGTTTAACTTTATTCAACAAAAATCCATTCTTTTATTTATCTCTTTTTAGATTGATACGTTCATCCAATCGAAAATGTCTGACTTGCAGTAAGTTTCACTTTATTCAAGGAAAATCCATTTTTTTTATTTATCTCCTTTCAGATTCAAACATTGAATTAAGACAAACTGGATAGATGTGGAGTAGCTTACAGCCACTCTCGACAATGATGTTTATTTGCTTCTTCACATATCCAGAGTGTAACGACAAAACTAGAGAATGTCGCCTATGCCAGTCGACATGATGGTGTATTGTGTCATCTGACATCTCTAGTCGTCTCCCGACTTCATACATAACACACGTATATATAGGAGAGAGATAGAAAAGAGACAAGAGAGAGATATATTAGAACAATGGAAAGAGAACAGAAGGAAGAGCAAGGAAAATCATCGAAGCGTGTCATCAATATCGGCACAACTGGTACGGAAGAAAGATAAATTTTAACCTATCTCGTCCAGTTTACCGTCTTGTTCTTCTTCCATACCAGTATTATAAGAAAAGATAAAAGAAAAAGAAAAAGAATCAATATGTATATACACAGTCATTTATTGTTCTGTTTCGAATACACTGACGAAGGAAGCTGATGCTTTCGAAACCTATGTAAATTAAAATGTACATGCAACTATTGTAATATATTTATCAATAAATAAAATTAAGTGATAATAATAACAACAATAAACATATTTTAAAATCACAACGGAAGAGTATCAAAAAACAAAAATAATTAAATTTAGGTAGGCATTAAATTCGAACATGGGTTATGAGTTCTGATCCAACGCTTGAGTGTGCCAATAATGCATGGACATCCTTTATTGTTCGCATATTTGCGTTTCCATTTCTTTGGAATATCCTCTGATCCGGTATTAGGAAGGAGGAATACGTTATGATGAGTGTTATGCAATGTGCCATAGGCCTTGTATAACTCGTTACTCTCATCAATCCATCTGTTATATTTCTTAATGTTATCCATCTACTTTTATCTAACGTGATTACGTCTCTAGACATAAGCAACGTAATGCGCATATGCCAATTATATCTTTTTCTATTCTTCTCTCTCTCGTGTGCACGTATATAAAGCGAGTACATTGTATGATACATCAGAACTGGAACGGAACAGAACTGGAATAGAATGGAGTAGTGTAACTAATATCATGTACACTGTAAAAAAAGGTGTTTTACGGAACTTAAAATGGTTTTTCACCGAACCTAAAAAGGTTCTTCACCTGGATACATTCTAAGAACCTTTTTTGGTTCCGTAAAAACATAGGTTTACTACAAAACCATTTTTCCGTAAACGCATTGAAAGGTTTCGTAGCAACGCCCTTCTACTAAACCATTAGTTCATACAACCAATAATGGCTCCGTATAAGAGGTTTCGTAAAAGACCTTCAAAGGACGAATCCTGAAAGGTTTCGTACAAAAATCATATCTCCACCCGTATACAAAGGTTTCGCAATAATCTTGTTGAATAAAGTCAAACCTACTTTTAATCGTATCTTGACGTTCCCGATGAATCCATCAAATCTAAAACCAAAACAGAATGGATTTTCGTTAAACGAAGTTAAACTTACTCTTATTCGTACCGTGTGATATGATGAACCTCTAAATCTAAAAGGAAACGAATAAAACGATGCATTTTGATTGAATGAAGTGAAACTTACTGCAAGTCATATATTTCAATAGGATAAACGTATAAATCTAAAAAGGGATAAATAAAATAGTGGATTTTCATTGAATAAAGTTAAACTTACTTTTGATCCTAGGCTGTGGTTAACTGAACGTTTGAATCTAAAAAGAAACAAATCGAAATAATGGATTTTCGTTGAATTAAGTTAAACTTACCGTTAATCGTAGGGTCTGGTAAATTCAACGTTTGAATCTGAAAGTAAATAAATAAAAAAACTTTGTTCCGCGAAATACATAATTTTTTGCATTTCCTCTTAGATTTAAACGTTCATCAAACCAAACTGTACAATTAAAAATAAGTTTAGCTTATTTAATCGAAAACATTCAGTTCTATACATTTCGATTTAGGCTTATAACTTCAGCGGATCTACAATGTATGACTGGCAGTAAGTTTAACTTTATTTAACGAAAATCCATTATTTTTATCTATTTCCATTTCGATTCATACGTGCATCGTAACACCA